GCTACCACTCTGCTAACACTTCTGCTTTGCGCACTTCCTCTCTTCACGTTACCGGCTCAGCCTGTTCTACTGATAAAGATCAAAAGTAAGCAAGAAAAGACCACTGGAGAGAAGCCTTTTATTGGTCCTATTGTTGCAACACTAGGGGGCAACATTGTATCTCCTGAGTGACTCATAAAGTGAGCCAAACAGCCTGTTTTAAGAGCCACAAAGGGTTGTGGCAAGGCTGTCTGTATGAATCATTGCAAACTGTGTTTGTACCAATCGTGACACAGTCAATCCCTCATACAAATAAAAGGCTGTGTTTGCACGAATCACAGGCCTTCTGCTGGCCACGAGGAGATGTGCTCCTCTTTTAGCCATGGTGAAAATGACTTCAGGGTCATCTAGAGTTCACTAAGGCATTCAGTGGCAAAGTCCAGCACAAGGTGTTTTGCAATAGTCGTGGCTGGAAGAGTGTCTTCTTGAATGGGGAGCTGTATTTCAGCAGCAAACAGCCATTGCTGCAGTGTAGCTTCCTCAAGGCATCTGTGTAGAGCGTTCAAAGTAGCTGGGGCTGGCCTGAGGGCAGTCCTGCTGACTGCTTAACTCATAGTCCTTTACTGGAGGTAACCAGAAAAAGGTTTAACGGTTGCCAAATAGAGAGTCAATCACAGCTCCCAATATCTTAGCTTATTTAAAGGAAAAATAAACATTAAAAGGGCTGCTTACAATAAAGACTTTATCAGTGATTTAACAGTATTTTAAAGAGCTGTAACAATGTTTAATTCCTACCTCAGTCCCCCAGGAAGAGGTGGGTCCTTCTAACCTGTCTCAAAATTTGTAGACTTCATATACAAAGTTAGGGGACTCCTTTCTCTCCAGCTCTTTCCTTTGCTTGATTTTCCCATCACTCTCTGGCAGTCAGCAATGGTTATTTACCCACTTTTTCCTTCACCCCTCTAGCCAGAAAGATTTGCACTTTTGTTTTGATTTTTGGAGGTTTAGTTTCCTGTGACCTGCCACTCCATGACTATAGGCCACCCTTAAAACAAAGCCCTTCCCAAATGGAAAATTATCCCACTCAATTCAAGTCTCCAAGTTTTGGTTTCCCTCTACTCTGCCTGATTTTGTTTACTATTTGAAGTCCTGAGGTAGTTTCTTTAAATACTTTGTTCAAAGTTTACAGTTCTTATTGGTGGGAGAATTGGTTTAAAGAGGTGCATAAACAACAACATTCTCTTATCATTTTTATTTATCCACAAGCTAAAATAGTTCAGTTTTCTTTGTTGTCCTGTCTTAACATGAACAAAACACACAGCGATACTTTTAAATTGCCGTTCTTGCTGGGTACCAGTGGTTCACACCTATATTCTTAGCTACTTAGGAAGTTGAGATCAGGAGAATGATATCTGAGGTCAGTCCAGGCAAAAAGTTTGCAATACTCCATCTCAATGGATAAAAGCTGGGCATGGAGGGGCATACCTGTCATTGCAGCAGTGGTAGGAAGCTTAAAGTAGGAGGATCGGGTCCAGGCAGACCTGGGCAAAAAGCAAGAACAGATCTTCAAATAACCAGAACAAAAAGACAAGCATGAAACCCTTAGTTCAAACCTCAATACTGCCCCCAAAATTGTCTTTTCTCCATTTCCCAAACTTTCATTTTATCTTATGACTGCATTTGCTTTGAAGCCTCACTTTGAAATACTACATAAACTAGTAGGTAGCCCACACATCCTCCTCACCCTTTCCTCTTCTCTATTTCCAATTTTCCTTTTGTAAAAGTTGTTCTTGTTCTCCCTTCTCCTAGTAGGCTGATAAAACTAATTCACTTTGCAACCTTTTGCCATGGTTTGAATATGAACTTTTCCCCTCAGGTCCATGTGTTGAAACTTAGGTCCCCAGTTGGTGGTACTATTTTGGGAGGCACTGGAAATTTTCAGAAGGTGGTGCTTTGCTGGAGGAAGTACATCACTGAGGGTGTGTCCTTGGGGCTACATCCTACCCTGGCCCCTTCCTACCTATCTCCTTTCTTCTTCCTGTCTGCCATGAGATAAGCTGCTTTGCTCTACCACATACACCCCACTGTAATATTCAGCTTCCCCTCAGACCCACAGCAATGAAACCAGACAACCATGGACTGAAACCTCTGAAACTGAGTCAAAATAAGTTGTTTCTGACAGGTAATTTGACATGGCAATGAAACGTCTGACTAAGACAGAAAATTGGTACCAGAAAAGTGGGGTCGTTGCTTCAACTACCTAACAATATGGTTTAGAAGCCTTTGGAACTGTTTTGTGGTAGGAATTTTTGGAGATGTGAGCTAGAGAAGCACTAAAATGGTATAAACAAAGCTTAATGGGTGATTCTGGTGGGAGCTCAGAAGACCAGATGCCAATAGGAATGCAGACAGTGAAGACTGTGCTCATGAAGTTTCAAATGGGAACAAGGACTCTGTTGAAAATTAGAATGGAAGTCATTCCTGTTACCTTCTGGCAAAAAACTTGTCTGTATTTTTGATTGTGCTCTGAGACTTTGTGGGCAGCTGGATTTAAAGGTGATGAACAAATTAATCTGGCTGAGAAAATTTCAAGATAGCACAGCATTTAGGCAGTAGTGTAAATAGTACTAACTGTTTTTAGCATGCTTATTGTGAAAACTGGGAGCAATAAGCATTGGAAATGTTTGAAAAAATATGCAGTTTGATCAGAAAAAGAATGTGTTTAAATTTGTAGGTGTGGACAAGGAAGGTGTTGTTGCTAAAGAGATTAGTTCCCTCAGAAAGAAGCCATGTACTTTGTACTAGGACAGTAAGAAAGATGCTTTGAAGGCACCTCAGGAACCATTGAGACTCCCATTGCAGGGCCAAGGGGTAAATGTGGAAATTCACTTGAAAGACTATTCCTTGAGAAAGAGTTCTGGGGCATCTAGCTCACACAGATCACCCAGGGACGTGTTTCCCTGCTTTCAGTCATCTAGAAATTCAGAGGCTGCTGCAGCATTAGCCCAAGGGGTGGGGGCTGGCTACTGCTCAAGCTGGAAGCAGACCTTGGTGTCATCTACATGGTACTGATTTTGCAGACATGCAGAATGCAAGAGTTACAGAATTGTGAAGGCTTCCACCCAGATTTCAAAGGAAGGGCTGGGAGATCAGAAAATGTGTGTCAGGGTCTGGATAGCATCTCCTGATAGGGCAATGCATGAAGCTACGAGGATAAAACCTAAGCTGTAATGGAGATCCCAGGAAGATTGAGATGCCAGGAATGTAGAATGTCTGCTAAGGAAAGCTTCAGGCAGTAGGCAGAGCCAGCCCAAGAGAGATGTGGGTTGCAATTGACGAGTGGGGCTGCCTGAGCCCATTTGAGCTCACATCACAGCACCACATTTCCTGGATACCTGACATAGAGCTACAAGATTTAGTGTTTGCCCTGCTGGGCTTCGGTCTTGCTTTGATCCCTCCAGCCCTCCTTTCTATGCCCCCATCCCTCCTCTCCAGAATGGGAATGTTCACTCTGAGCCAGGTATATGGAAAGTATGTAACGTGCTTTTCTATTTTTACAGGAGCTCATAAGTAAAAGTTTGCCTTGAGTATTAGAGGAAACTCTGGACTTGAACTTTTGAAAAATGGTGGAACTGTTTAGACTTTGGGGAGTCTTGCAAAGAGACTAAATGCATTAGGCATTATGAGATGGCTGTGAGACTTTGGAGGCCCAAGGTGGAATGTTATTATTTGAATATGAAATGTCCCCTTAGGCTCGTGTGTTGAAGCCTGGACCTCCAGGCTCTTTTAGGAGGTATTGTGAGAGGTATCGGAAACTTTAGGAGATGGGGGCCACCTGAGAAGTAGGTCACTGGGAGTTTTCTATTCTTCCTGACCTCTTCCTGCTGATCTCTTTGCTTCCCAGAGCTTTGATCTAACACATGCCTCCCACCATGATGTTCAATCTCATCTCAGACCCACGACAATGGAGCCAGCTGGCCATGGTATAAAATCTCTGAAACCACAAGCCAAAATTAATCCTTCCTCCCTTAAGTTGTTTCTGTCACATATTTTGCCATAGCCATGGAAACTGACTAACATACATCTTTACTCTCAGCACCTTAAACCCAGGAATCAAGATGGCAGTTAGAATTTCCCTGAGAAAATGGAATACCCATGAAGGGAAGGTTAAATGTCCAAGGACAGAATTCAGGATGGGTGGGGGGGGGAATGGATTTGGGGGAGAAAAGGAGGTGAAAATTGTAAATACCACACTCATAATTTAACAATTCAGTCCTACTTAATGCTGACTATTGAAGCATTTATGATGTATTACATACATATAACTGTGCATTGGAAATATGATGTACATGGAATATATAGAGACAGAGTTTGAATAATTTTATAATGTTTTACCTTTCTAAGCAAAGCATAGCTCCAATAAGTCTTCAAATTTCTAAAAGAGTTACAGATTCTCATAATTCTGGCATTTTGTTGACATTACAAGTACCTGCTAAACTATGCATAATTTGTTTTATCAAACTTTATAGAAGAACTGAAAGGTAGGCGTTGTTTCTGTTTACAAGTGAGGATACTGAGGATCAAAGAGATTAAGCCATGTGTCCAGGGTTATACACCTCTTGGAGGGTATAGACAAGATTTGAACCCAGATGGGAATTCAAGCCATTTTCTTCACTCTGTCTCCCCTTTTGAAATCACAGGCTGCCACCCAAGCAGGATTTGATAACATTAATTGCTCAATGTGATGGAGGAAGGGGGCCATACTGCTGTGAAAACAGCATTCTCTTTGAAAAGGAGATCAATATTCTCATCCCACTTGCTTACAAACTCTACAACACCTCAACTTCTCTCACACTATCTATAAGAGAAGTTCTGTGTGTATGACAGAAATGAAAATGTACTTCACTGCAATTTCCAGAGCTGTTCTGGTAATAACATAAGAGCTAGGAATGTACATCGAAAATGTAAGTGTTTACAGTCTTATTTAGCCTAACTCACAAAGTAACACTTCTTTTTCTAAGTTTTACAGTTACGACTTCAACAGAGAAGGACCCAGGAGCAGCTGGCTAACCAAGGCATAATACCACGTGAGTACCTGCAGCTCTTATGCACTACCATTGGGCTATGTTGTTTGGGAGTTGGAAAGTGCATCAAACGTCACTCAGCCTAAACCAATGTGTTGATACCCCAAGAGCCTTATAGAATCTGTGTCAGCAGAACCCCAGACTTTGTATGTTTTGTCACAACTACCACAACATATAGGGTGAGCCTAAAGTTCCAATATGGTGGGTTTGTTCATACAGTATGCACAACCACTATGGGCACCCTTCATGTTTCTCCTACTTTTAAAATTGAATATCATCACTACTGTTTCCATAGGTTCCAATCACATAATCCTTTTTCTTACCTTCTTGATTTCAGAAACTTAGGCATTTGAGTCCACAATTAATTGAATATTGTTAAGTACTTCGTTTCTAGAAGAATGGATAAAAACCTTCTAGAAAATAAATAAATGCAAATATGCAAATGTTATAATATTGAATTACCAGCTGTAATCTGAGTCAAAGAAGGAGTATCATCATAGGTTTTAGAAGATATGTTTGAAATTTCCTTCCAACTTAGCAACTGAAACTAATTCTTGAGTTACCTATAGAAATAAGGGAAAGGGTGGCCCAGATGAAAGGACTCACAGTTGAAACTGCTCTAAGTCATACTAACATCCTCCTAATAAGATTTGAAAATGAAGATTTGTAATGACACTTGCAGAAACTCAGGTTCTTATAAGCACTGTCATGACTATTGCTTCAACATCTAATATGCAACATGCAGAAGTTTGCCCTTGACAGATTGTCCTATGGTTAGTGGGAGCCCTGTGACCCACAGTCCACAAATTTTATGTTTATTCTATGTGTCAGAGGTAGAACACACCTAAAAATGCTTTAAGCCTTTTCTTTTATAATTCAAAAGTGTCTCTTTTTTTAACTTTTGAGGTGGATAATTTTTCCCATGTTTTTTACTAGCACATGTTAATTGTACGATGTATGGAGGGTTGTCCCAAAAGTAACTCTTTCTAAATGGCCTTGCCCTAGGAACATTAAAGGGTAGATGACTTAATAGCAGAACAATTTCTTTAGAGGTTTGCTAAGCACAAAAGAAACAGCTCCCTTACAAATTCAAGGTTATTTCAGTCACATTTATAACCATGATGAGGAAGCAAAGAGCAAATATATGTGTGTCTGTTTGAGTTTAGTCAGCCTCCTGGGGAAGGGCTAAAGACAGGGAAAACACAGGTCTGCAGACTTCAAGTAATCACACATAGCCACTATCTGCACCCTCACTGATATGACTTTCTCCTTAATTCTGAAAGGCAAATGGAGTCAATAGACCCAGAACATTTCAGTCAGGCAAGTTCATAACTGATTTAAAGTTCAATTCAAGTGTCTACATCCTCAGAGCCTGAGTTTGCAACTGGCATTTGAATGAGAATAAACTGTTTTGTATTTTCGGTATATGGGGTTAAATCTGAGAAACAATAAAAATAACCAATAAAGACAGGAATTAACTTTACATTTTTAAATAACACCACTCATGTCAGTTGTGTCAATCAAACATGCATTTGTACCAGGCTACTTGGGAGGCTGAGATCAGAAAAATTGTAGTTGGAGACCAGCCCAGGCAAATACATCAAAAGACACCCCCCATATCCAAAATAACCAAAGCAAAATAGACTGGAGACATGGTTTAAGTGGTTGTACAAAACCCTGAGTTCAAACTCCAGTCCCACTGGAAAAAAAAAATCCACTGGTGTAGTGTTCAATGGAAATAAAACATTTTGTTTTCCAGGATTTTCAGAATCAAATAGCAAAGATGTTAACAAAATACTGCTTAATACAAAACTTGCCTCCATGTTCCATTGTACCATTAAGATAACTTCTGGGGGGAAAAAGTCCTGAAAAATAATTAATTTCCCTGGGGACTGAACCCAGGGCCTATTAGGCAAGTGTGTTACTACTTGACCCACACCCCAGCTTTTTCGTCTGTATTTTGTTTTTGAGATAGCATCTCCCTGGCCTGGACTGGCCTCAAACTTGCAAACTGGCAAACTCCTATTGCCTCTACCTCTTGAGTAACTGAGATTACAGGTATGTGCCACCATGCCCAGCTATGAATTTAAAAAAAACAATCAGTGAATGATACTGGTTTTCCAGTTTTCAGCCACCTGCTCTCAAACAGGCTTTTTAAAGTGTAGAGTCTTCTGAAGAAAAGTACATAAGCATGTCTGGAGGATATTGCAAGCCCTGCCTGGACAGACCTATTCTACTTAGCTCTTCTCAGAAAGCTAGAGTCAGAAAATGTCCTCATCTGATTATGGTCAATATCTTAAATCCCATTTTGAGGCCAAGCATGCACTCTCCATGCAGTGTGGGGCAGGAAGCTTCCTTCAGCACTAAGCCTACTGGTACAAATGCAAATGCTTGGGGGAAGGAAAGAAGACCCAAGAGCCTCAGGGTCTTTTCAATTCAATCAAATTCAACACATTTTTAATAAACTGGACTGTGTGCAGGGCACTGAGTCAAGCACTAGAGGTACAACAATGATGAGCAAAGTGATCCTTTGGAAAGACCCAAAAATGTTAAGGGAAAGGTGATAAGAAACACAGCTAAGAATAATTCAGTGAGGAACTAATGTTCCACAAGAGGACCATTTTTTATTTTTTCATTCTATTAATTAAATTTTTAAAGCAGAAAGGAAGAAAAAAGGAGAAAGAAAAAGAAGAGACTAGAAGGAAGAAAAACTAATTGTCCCCAGAGGTCATCTATTTCTGTGACTTTCTAATTTCTTATTGAGAACGAAAATATATGTATATATACATTCTTATATACATTCATACGTAATGGCTGAGAAAGTATTGGTGGCCTCTGCTTTATTTCCTAGGCCTCTCTTTATCCCTTCCAGAAGTCCCCTGAAAGCCTTCATTACAGTGCTGCTTCTCTTCAGAATAGAGCTGAAAATCTCCTGACCTAGTCAAATCTTTATTTGTCTTTAATGTCCATAGAACTGAAATTGAGGAGGCCTTAGAAAGTTTTCAAATGTCCCTAGGCCAAGTCCAATGTGGTCTCGTTTTCCATCATTTTAGTTTATGAGAATTTAAATATATGCAAAATAAGATTGTTCATAAAATCTCAGTTAACCCAAGAAATTTGAAATACTAGCAATCTTCCTCCAAATTTTAAAACATGCCATAAGTTGCCTAAATTCAAAGCTGATGAAGTGAATTAATTATTCTTAGGTTATTGCCATATAGCAATGCTGTTTTCACTGCTCAACAGGAACACTTGCCACCCTTTGGCAGAATTAATCTTGCATTTTAGATTAGGTTAAGTCTTCAGAGCTTGTCCTTTGCAGAAAATGCCAGCCCCTCCTATTGTGACAGAGCAGAGGCCAGGATCTGAGTCTCCTGGTCCTCACAAAGGCCCATTTTCTCAAATGTTCAAAAGGAATCATTTGACATTTAAAAGCACTTACTTACATTTTTTGTGACCAAAAAAATTCAATTGGAAATTTAGACATAGAAAAAAGATGTGTGACAATATCAAGGATGAAACACTGGTTATAATGGCTTCAGGCTCCATCTCATAATCTATGTTTCACTATGACCAGCATCGAATGGAAAACCCTACAGACTTATCTCTGACAGATCTGCACTCCAAATTGATATTAAACTGTAAGGCTTCTCTGCCACTGACTCTAATGAGCCAAAACATGTGTTCTTCCCAGTTGACAAATGCAGCTAGTCCAATATGACTGAATTTTCTTCCTTCCCTCTTCGTGGGGATGCATCCTGCAAGCTTTGAGGTTGTTGCTGAGTAACAGTCCATAACCACCAGCAACAAATTCTTTTCTGCAATTCCCCCAGTCACTTTTCTAAAGCATTCACTTTGTTCTTATTTTATGTATCATGAGTTTTACGATTTTCTCTTTTCCCATGCTTTGAATGAATTTAAAGTTATCATTGTTTTTTTCAGTGCTAGGCATGAAAACAGGGTGTTGTAAAGCGAGTCAAACTATGTCCCCAGCCCTAAAGGCATCATCTCTTGACTGCAAGCCAAGAAAAACAGAGTTCTGATGTAGTTTAGAACCCCTAGAACGACTTGAAACAGTAAGAAAAGGGTTCTTGGGTCAAGAGGGGGAGCCAAAGCCGTACCTTAAGAGGCCTTCACTTTGATAATATTAGTCGTGAAATTCACACATTTTCAAAAGAGTTCTGAAATCTTGGTGAACTATCTATCTCCTCAAAGTTAATTTAAGAATATTACTTTTGGAATTTGTTGTTTGGACTTACCTCCTAAACCCCATGTCTGATTCTCAAACTGGAGATTTTTGAATTGCCTAGTTTGCCATTATAACTAGGATTTAAAGGAATGGCTTCACTGTCCCTTCCTTTCAGGTTCGAAGGTACAGAGGACATCAAAGCTATGTACTCTCATGGCTTTAGAACAGAGCCAACCTCCTCCTCCATAAATTTCTGGGGTTTGTCTGTTCATCATTTTTCATGCATATTTTCTTTTCTTCTATCCTTTTCCCTGGGCACCACTCTCCTAGGTAGAATCCTAAATGACATCATTTAATTCCAACCATTTCCAAATGTAGAAGTATAAAAAGAGGATCAGCTGTATGGCTTAGACTCAATAAAACAGCTATAAAGCAATTCAGTACGTATGTATTAACTGTCTTTGAGCAAGGCTCTAAGGAGCACACACAAGAATCAGACAGGATCTCTGTGTCAAAGGCCTTCTGGTCTAGAAGGGGCCCCAAAGCACCCCCATTTAACTGTTCCTATTAACAAGTTCGGACAACTTGAGGCCCCTACATGAGAGAGGGTGTTGGGAGGGTTGAGAGATTACTTTTTCTGTCCCTCTGTTACTAAAGAAAATCTAATGGGGTTGAGCCCAGGGGAGATGGGAAGGAAAGTTTTTCCTTTCTCCTGGAATACAGGAGAGGAAAGTAGAGAATGAAAATAGGTTTTAGAGGACCTGGGGCCCAGAGAGCCTGCTTCTTGTCCTCAGATTCTCAGGCCAGAATGGAATATCTGGGCAGCGTGAGTCTATGATCAATGTACATGAGTTCCAAGATACAATGAGCGGTCTATGAATGGTGCTGCCTTTATTTTTTTTGCAGACTAATCCAAGCTACAGCAGCCATATACTTACTGCCAAGCCTGGGTAAATCCCTGAACTCTGTGACACTTCTGAGTAGTGAGAAGAATGATCGGGCCATTCCCGCACCCACACCCCATGCAGCTTCACCATAGTCTTGAGAAGTTGACTGGACAAAAGTCTCTCTTCTTTTTTCTCAGTGCATTCATGTGACTTGGCTTCTCCCTACAGCACCCACCCTACCTCACACCATTGGCTGTCTGAGCAGAACACAGCACAGGAGGATTAATCCATCTGCCTCTTTCCTTCTTTCTAACCTCTCAACTTCAGAGATAGGAAAAGGTGTTCTGGATTTTTCAAAACAAGCCCACCTGAGTCAACAACGTAACTCCCCACCTTCCTCCCCTCTGTCCTTCAATTTTTCAGTTCCCTGTTCTTAGAAGCTAGAAAAACAGCCATTACAGACACACTTTGAATTTGTCTTTGTATCCTTTTTCGGAGAAATTCCAAAGTGTTCACGTATGTTGCATCAAATTCTACAAGTGTGCAAGCCAGATCTTAAATACTACAGGCTACATTGGGAAAATACACTGTTCTCAGATTCCTAAGACTGTAATTTGGATACTGAATAAGCAATTTATTACCAACCTAAGAAAGAGAATATAATTTCCAAAAGTGTCATCACTTATCCATAGCATGTATCCTAATTGTTCAAGGAAAAAGTCTATCTTTAAGAGAAAGGCAAAGACAGTTCACACATTAGTAAGCCTATTTATATATATAAGTGGGAAGCTGAGAGTATAGGAAAACTATCACACTACTTCAAGTTATTCCAAAAACAAGGACAGAGTTCAAGTAGATGATTCCTAAATTTTGAATCACTCAGCACTTTAATCTTGCCTATTACTACCATGGATCTTATGTCTGAAACAGTTTTGTCTTCTCAAAGGACCCTATATGCATTAATTATTAATCCATATATCTTTTTAATTAAACAATGGCATACAAATTTACCAGCCAATACTTTTAGTTTAGAACAAACATTTCTAAATGCATCACTATAATTCTGGGCAACTGCAATGAAAAATGAGTTTCATTACAGCATCCTTTCTCTGGGCTGACAATCCCTTTTTCTCCAGCTTTTTTAAATACTGGAAATCACTCCTTACAATCCACTGCTCCACTCTAAACTCATAGATTCCCAAGGATTGCAGATCAGGAGCCCCCTGGCCTTATAAATGACGCAATGGTTCTTAAACTATGGTATCAAAATCACCTGGAGGGCTTGTTCAAACACAGATCTCAGGCTGACAGAGTGGCTCCAGTGGTCTGCCTAGCAAGCATGAGGGCCTGAGTTCAAACCCTGGTACCACCAAAAAACAAAAGAAATAAAATAAAAATGTTTAAAATCCCACAACTCCCCATGTCCCATCTCCAGAGCTTCTGACGCTACAGTTCTGGGGTGGGGCTCAGGAACTAGAATTTCTAAGAAGTTCTCAATTAATGATGAGGATGCCATACTTTGAGAACCATGGCTCTAGTTCCTGACTCAGGTTTCTGGCTCTTTGATTCTGCCTCTCAGTTCTTACCCAATCCTGTACCAATGGAGTTGGATTTTCTCTGAGCCTGGCAGTGAGGGATCGATCCCCTTGAGGGAGGTGGAGCCCTGCAACAACCCAGCATCCTAGCTTGCCCCCCGCCCCCCCGGAAGAGTCAGCCCTCTGCCTTAAATGAGTTCTCAGTGGTCTGTCCCAACAGCCCGTTTTCTCCATGGTTTGGGATCCCATTGGAGGCATTAGGTCAAAGTTGAGCAAAGACTGCAGGAGGGCTGGCCTTATCTTGGGATCTTTCTCTGAGCTCTAAGTAAGCAAATGTTTATACACACAGCTGACCCAAATTAGTGAGAGCTGTGGGGACAGAAATAGGAATAGCCCACAACTAAACTCCAAGGCGAGAACATGAATTCCCCTGCGAGGAGCGATTAATCTTCCTCCAGGGGGAACGAGTCAGATGTGTGGCTGACTGGATTTATAACCATATTTTAATTTGAAATCGCATGGACTTATTTTTTTAATTTAGAAATCCAAATTCCTTTTCAATCTTAAATGTCAGTGTCCTTTAAATACAAAATTTTGCCATTTGATACTCCCCAAGCTGGCAGCAGAAGTTGTCCTTTGTGTATTTTCCAAAAAAAAATCAACTGGGAGTGGGGGCCGTTATGATTTTTGCAGGCCTGCAGGGAAAATGGCTACAACCCATGTTCTCTAGAGTCACAGAGAAAGCAAACCTCAACCCTAGGGCCACTGCAGGGGAGTTTTCCACAGTATGAGCTCAACCCAGTGCCCCACATAACTCGCATAAGTCCTGAGAAGAACATGTGGTAAAAGCAGCATGGGGACCTCTGGTATTCTTCCCAAGACCTTGCAATATGGACATAGTGTCCCACCCTATGGTAGAAGGTTCTAGAAGACCTTTGTGCTCTTGTCATCAGAGAATTGGACCATGTGAATCATTTCACAGGGGAGTAATTAACACAAGAAACGATGAATTGTAGCTTTACAAAGCTAAGGCAGAGGAAATGCAGTGTTTCTTAGCATAATTAATGAACTCTGCTGATAGAAATTGAAGTGCCTCAGGGAGGAAAGGATCAGATAAATTCCTCTGAAGTCCCTAGCCCAATTCAAACCAATTGTGTTTGGAATGTAAGAGATGTCTCTAGATGTAGTCATACCATTCATTCCCTTTGAGAAACTTCCTGAGGAAAGAGATGAGTTATTCTCTTTAACCACTTAGTAAAGATCAATTTGAAAATCAATTCCTTTTCTGGATGATGAAAGAGATTAAGCCACACCAATGTGTAATATTTCATTAAATGTCTCTCAAGTCACAAGACAGAGGTGAAGGCCTGTTGGTGCAGGATACACAGGTTCACATGGGGCCACTGTACTTCAAGCAGACTTTGTGTGACCTGGGGAAGATGGAGTCTCTTCTCAGACACCCTCAATACAAATTCCAACTGTGATCAAACACAAGAAAAGGCAAGCTTCCTTACTAAGGCTGTCCAGACCCAAACCAAAGAAAATGAATGAGCCACACAGTAGAGCTACACATTTATTTCTCAAAGTCACTGAGTGGGAAGAAAAGGGGGCATCTGCAGTGGCAGATATAGCAGAGAAACCCATTTTAGAAGTGAAAACAGAACCAAAGAGCAGCTAGAAAATCAGTTTCCAGACTAGTGGGAAATGTGATATTTAAGTAAAATATTCATGTTTTTTCCTAAAAGAAGGAAGCCTCTTCACCTCTAGTCAAAAGGAGAAGTATACCTGTCAACTACTTTAGGCATAAGGAAGCAGCTGGGACGATTTTGCATGTTTCTTTGGCCAACATTGTCAATGTTGGGGTGAGGTGAGGAGACTGATAGAGAGCATCCCTTATTAACATCCCCAGCAGGACCGCCATAGACGATAATGTGGTCAGCCACTGTTATGGTATCCACCATGACTACAACCACATCTGCTTGATGTCCAGCAAGCTGAGCTGAAAACCATACTCAGATTTGGTGTGGTCTTAAGGGATGAATGAGGCACACACCACACATACACACACAACCTGAAGTGCTGATCTGGCCAGAAACCTAATTTTTATGCTGACTGAAATTTGGAAGAATACATCATAGCCTGCACTTGAGTGGACATCTGTTAGAGTAGTTGTACAACTCTGGATCATGTGATTCACAAATTGGCCAGACTTAGAATTTTTTTTAAATGCAATTCTGTGACCTCTGATCTCACTACTTACAATGAAAAGTGATTGTTTGTGGCTCCTAATTGAGATTATTGTAAGATATCAGGGAAACTAATACAAAATGTGGAATCTATTGCAGGATGCTGTACATCTTTACTACATCGAGTTTAATGAATCATCATGCAGGATGCTCTGAATGAGTGATGGGGGTACACAGAGGAAAGAGTAGAGGTGGCATCTGGCCCAGGTGGTCTGAAGCTACTCTGTGTTATATATGATGGCCTAGTGCCTGTGTCTACTAATTGTTAATAAAATCACACCTTGAAAGAGGTAAGGGTATCAGAGGACTTAGGCCCCATGCCTTAACTGTATAACCCTGGACAAGTCAATCCAATGATCTCCAGGGTAGGAGTTGGACTTCAGTGTCTCTAAGGTCCCTTCCAACCCTCAAAGTCTAATCTCTGCTTCTCCACACCTAGGCAACACATACATAACCAACCAATCATCACGTTCTTTATCTAAAGTACTGAGCCTTCTACCATATTCCCCACCCACTCCAGACCTTAACCATTCATCCAGCTTTTTTAAGCCAAGGGCAGAGCCTAATCAAAGAGGGTGTTAGTTACCCACATACCCTCACTTAAACAGTATTACTTCTGGTCCCTCTGTTTCCTCAGAATCTTGGAATGCCCTGCCTCCACTATTTCTCTTCTGTCACGCATTCTGCCTCTGCTGCAACTCCTGGTTTAGGCCTGAATTTCACCTTCCTCTGCCTCCTATGGCTTCCAGGCAGCTGGCATCCTCCAGGCTGTTCCTCTTTCATTGCTTGTAAGGTGATCACTTACCGACTGTGCATAGCTCAGCAAGCACACAGCAAACCCTGCCAGACTGACCAATGCCCTGAGGCTACACTCTACTCATGTCTTTATCTTTCTGTTTCAGCACTGAAAAGTCCAACGGAATTCCATGAGCAAAGAAAAAATTTGGATAGTGACAAGGTAATTTTTGCAAACTGCCTTTCCCAAACTAGGACTATAGGTTATAGACCCCTGAATGCTAAACTTCAGCTGAAGTATGTAGAATTTCTACAACAAATTCCATCAATTAGCTAATTCCCTGTCCTCACACCACATGCAATCTTACTCCTGTGAATGAAAAACTGTGGAAGTAGGATCAACTATGCTAACTTTGAAATTGCTAAATTTTTTTAGTTTTTAAAAAAATATACTCAATCTTTCTGATTTTGGGGAGAGAGGGGACAATTGCAGCAAGGATGCACAAAAGTTCAAAAAGACTTTTTAAAAAGGAAAGTATCATTGATTTGCAAGCTGCTTTACTTTTTGTTACAGTCTTTTCTTAGCAACAAGCAGATTTTTCTTAAATGTAATTTAATGGTAAGTCTAGGTCTATGGATGCATAGCTTATTTGCAACTACATAAAGGCAAAGGAAATTACGTTTACTTTCTTTTCTGAGTTTGTGGGGATTGTTCAGGGATTGGGTTTTTGTTTGGTTTGTTTTTGCATTTAAAGGGGGAAATTGATATATTCTGCACCTTCAAAAAAATCACTGTAACCTGAATTTATCAATCATAAATATTATTTAGGAACCATCAGCACTTTGAGTGAGAAAGGAAGAGCAGGTGGTGTCTATCTCCTGGGATTTCTTTGCCTAACAGTTCTAGCCTTGCAACTTATCTGCAGCTCAACAGGAAGAGCAGGGCTCTGCAATTCATCAAAGTTGTTTCTGAGTGGTTGTGATTCCTACCTGGAGAATAGAAAAAGACAGCAAACTATTTTTATCAGAACTGGAGAAACCCCCAGACCCTTCAAGGGCCCAATAGGCGATGGCACATAGTGAGATAAAAGCCTAGAAATAGAAACCAGGAGTCCGGAGGCCTGTTTTAGCCCAAGCCCAGCCTACATCATCCCTACAGATAGATAGCTCCACCATCAAGAAGAAGATGAGACTCAGTAAGCAATCAACCTCTAGATGCCTTGCAAAGTCTGAACGTGCAAGCTTTACATTTCCCATGTCCTAAGAGAGAAGTCAAATCACAAGAGAGGGCCACACGTTGTGATGTTATACCAAATGGATTTCCACAGTGTTTTATCTCTGACCTTTGTTCTTTTTGTGACTGTTTTAAAAAGGCAACAGAATAGGACTGATTAGAATACAAGCAGCTCAGTATCATAACTGTCATATTAATATTTTATTAACATGAGTCTGCCTGGTCCCAAAAGACCTTTACATTTGTAGCCCTGATGTGGACCCAGCTTTTTATCTGTTTATCATATTTTCCCATCCTAAAATTCCTGGAGGGGCCTTTGAGTGCTTCTTCACAGATATTTCCATTTTCCATCTGTCATACAAAGAATGCTTCTTCCCTTTGAGATAAACTGAGGTTTTCTTTTTTATCAAGTTAAAACTTGGTTTTTCACCTGTTTGTATTCTACAGACTGAAAATTCCCTGAAGCGCAAAGGTAGAAACAGGTCTGACCCGGCCCACTTGGTTAATATGCACATACTCCAAGGTAAGTCTTCTTGAAATCAAAACTCAGGGATGTCCATTGAATGGTGGGCCATTTTTCCAGAGTTGTTTGTCTAAATGCACTTGCTAAGCCCCTTAAAACGTCTGTCCTGACATTACATTGGTGGTTTTGAGCAGTCATCTGGCATTACCCTAAGTCCCATTGAAAACCAACTTGGAAAGTTTCAGGGTAGGGAAGAGAGAGAAGGAGGAGAATGCAGAACAAGGCTATGTGGGTTGTAAGGCTATGACCTGGATAAGGCAGCAAAGGGCTCTCAGGCAGAGGTGACAAAATTCTTTCCTCCTTTGCAATGACACAATTGCAAAGAAAGACACTTGAAGCAGCTGCTGTATGGGCACAAAATTACAGCTGCAAAAATAATCCAAGAAATACCATTTCAAATGAGATACAGACTTTTCAGCGATCAAGTTAGCAAAACATACATATTGTAAGCCAGGCACCAGGAGCTCATGCCTATAATCCTATCTACTTGGGAGGCTAAGATCAGGATGATCGCAGTTCAAGACCAGCCAAGACAAATAGCTCATGAGACCCCATCTCAACCAACAGCTAATGTGGTGGAGCACACCTGTCATCCCAAGCTACACAAGAGGCTGAGATTAAGAGAATCACAGTTCTAGGCCAGGTCAGACAAAAAAAGTTTGTGTGACCCCATCTCAATGGAAAAAAGCTGGGTGTGATGGCACATGCTTGTCATCCAGCAACTGTGGGGAGCCTAAAATAGGATTGTGGTCCAGACCCACCTACACAAAAAGCAGGAGCCTATCTCCAAAATAACCAGAGCAAAAAAGCTTGGTTCAAGTGGTTGAGCAACTGTCAGCAAACTGAAAGCCTTGAGCTCAAGTCCCAGTACTGCCCCCCACCAAAAAACCCAGACCATAGCAAGACTTTAGGAAATACCTGCATTCTTACACACTACTGGTGGGAGTACAAGCTGTTCACAGTTTCTACAAGGCAATTTGGTAATGTGCATCAAACTCCTTGAACATTTTTCTATTTTCTATCCTTTAACTTTGTACTATAATTTCTAGTATTTTATTTAATAAAATAATCAGAAATGCAAAAATGTAGGTACAATGATACTTATCACACAATTACTTTAGATGGCAAAACACTGAAAATGGTAAAACATCCAACAATAGAGGATAAACCAAGTATACTGCTAGTCATCCATAAGATTGAATACTACGTGCCCACTACAAACAAGGTTTTCAAGGAATTAGGACTTATTGAGAAAAGCAGAAAACAAAACTACATTTGTAGGCAAATTCCGGAAAGAAAAATATACACATAAACACAAATTTCATTTGCAGTCAGATTCCCAGAGGAAAACTTACAGACCTAACAGTAAACACAAATAACCCAAGAATTGAAAGTAGTTGACTGTACATGGGGCATTTTCTGAGGCTTTCATTTTCTTTTGCATACTTTTTTGGGCACTATTCACATTTCTGGTAATGAGTTAATGGTAATGCCATAATCCAAAAAAGCATAAGAGGTCTGGGGCTGTAGCTCAGCAGTAGAACACTTGCCTAAAATGGATGAAGCCCTGGGTTCCATTGCAGCACCACACACACACACACACACACACACACACAAAGAAAAGTTACTTCTTGCATTATTGTAGTCTGCAATTAAAATATCACACTGTGGACCACAACAGATGTGGTTCTTGCATGTCCCTGGTGGCTTTCATGGACTCCTTTATTCCCTCCAACATAAATTAGGAATTAGTTCCCTAGAGCACCAAAGACATGATAGATGCAAAATGACCCTGCCCTCCTGGTGTTTCTCATCTAAATTCAGAGCAGCAATGTGAGATAAAGAGCCAACTGCCAGAGACAGGCAAAGCACAAGGGATCTGTATATGTAGGTAGAATTAGGAAGGCTTTCCACTGGGACTAAGAAGTAGGATGCTCATGGTGGGAAGTAGGAGAGAAGTATTTCGGAGTGGGGAAACTAAGAAAAGTAGTACAAAGGTGCACTCAGTAAGACATGGGGGGAGGGTGCAGAGGGGAAAAGGCCAAGCTCCCTGGGGTTGTAGGTTGAGATGGAATGTCACCAATCTTGAAGGAAGGTGGATTTAGTTTGTAGCAAATCCAACTGAGAAGTGTATTGGGACAGGACCGTCTTGTAGGGGGGATGCAAGAAGATAGGACTTCCTGAAGATGGTGTGGGTTATGTGGGGGGTTGATCAGAAAACCCTGAGACTGGGAGTCTAGCAAGGAGCCTTTAAGTGGTTTGGGAGGATTTAGGCCTAGGTATCCCCATTCACACATCCCCCATTTCATGGGAAGTGCTTCACACATATAACTTATAGAAGAGCTGCTGCAGCTGAGTGGACATCCCCAGACCTCTCCCGCCTGGAGAATGCAAGCTCTGCCACCAGATGCTAGGCCAGGATTAGTCGCTTGGTAATGACAAACTGATGAGCTGGGAGATGTGTCCAGAAACACCACATCTTCTAAAATTGGAACACTGACTGCAAAGCTATGGACTCCTATCTTACATTGTCTATCAGAACAACAGCTTGGCTGGATTTTATTCCACTTCTCCACAGAAATGAGTCAGGACCCACCCTACAAAGGATGCTTGGTGTCAGTCATACAGCCATGAGGTTAAGGCTCTGAAGCTGGTCCTTGTCAACCTCCAAATGATGAGAAACTACTTGTTAGAAAAATTCCATTCTTAAAACCCCCTCCATTTAACCCCCTGTTTCAGTGGAATTTTTTTCTTTTATAAATATGTCATGAACATCTGACTCTCAGTCAGTATCACAGCACTGACAAATCTAAAACCCTAAAAACATCATACTACTCATACTACTAATAATAATCATTACAACGAGGAGATCATATTTCCTGCAGGCTCAGCCAGTGCCAGTCCCTATCCAAGTCCTGGAGCTTAGGGTCAGGCAGGCAACATCAACCCCATGGACTGCTTGCTCACAAATTGCCAGATTGCATTTTTGTTTTTAACAAATCCTCACAAAGCAAGTTTCTCTAACTTTTCTATGTGCCTCTCTATTTGCCTTTATTTGGAAGTGTCTAGTCTTTGGTGCTAATCCCTGTGAAGTGATGATGATTGCATTGAAAAATTATTAGGACAGTAGAGCACAGAGTGACACAATGTTTTGTAACCACCAAGCCAAAACACAAAGCAAAACAAAGACGAATTCTAAAACTGATCCTTTTCATTTCAACCTGCCAGCCTCCACTGCAGAGAGATCCATCCCAACTGCTCAAATGAAGCTGAAAAGAGCCCGCCTCGCAGATGATCTCAATGAAAAGATTGCTCTCCGCCCAGGGCCTCTGGAACTGGTGGAAAAGAACATACTCCCCGTGGATTCTGCTGTCAAACAAGCCATAAAAGGTAGTTAGCACCAATAGCATGCCTGTCCCTGGTGCTCAAGAGCTCCAAGGGCAGCCAGAGCTCCGACACACTAAGGACTTTGGGAGTGAGAGTCTCTCACTGCACAAGAACCATGTCATCAGTTGCTCTCCCAACATGATCTCCATAGCCATAGGTCCTGGGGGGAGGAAGAAACTCAGCCACAAACATTCCAAGGTCAACACAGGCCAGTTTTGCTGTACTCGGGCAGGTTGAGAACCTGACAGGACATAATCCTCAACACCTCCCCTACATGGTTCCATCACTTAGGAGTTATGGTCAGCCTTCTTCAGTTTGCTTTTAAAAAGAGGGGTAGATCAGTACAGAGAAAGGAGCACTGGGCCCTGAATCAGAACATCTGGACTCCAAGGCCAGCCTGGCTGCTGCGTGCTGGGGTTGAGCCAAGTCCTTTCATCTTGCCAGGTGGAGACTATGGTTCCTTCTCTGCCAGGCTCTCGGGTGTGAGGCTACTGTTACAGGATGCATGTGAAAACTCTTGATAACTGTACCATACTCCATGAGGCCAAAGCACATATACTCAAGGAGGTGATATAAGTATTAATTCTGTCATAAGTTACATAAAATGTAGACTTTTTGAACAATTGATATCAAGTGGGCCCAAACATTCTGTGAGTACTGAACTTAATCATGAAGAGTTTGAGGTAGAA